TAGGGGTCAAAGCTGGTGTCTGGGAGGTGGCTCAGGAGGGGTTGTCGGGGGCAGCTGGGGGCAGGAGAAACTTGGCGGTGGGGGTAATAGAACAGCGTGAGCTGCTCAGGTGGAACTTCTCACCCCGCACTCCAGTAATTACAAACCATACATTTCACTTTGGGCCGTGACAACGCCTCCCCGATCCCAAATGAAAGTGGGGCGTTATTAATGGGGTGAATTAGGGCTCCTTGTGGATGTACAGGAGCACCAGACTCCCCAATTTAACCCCAAAATATATATCAAACACCTGCTGCTCCAAAAACTTTATCCTCTTACGCTTCATCATTTCATTTATTCATTACATCAACGGCCCAGGTAGCATCAGCAAGGTGCGTGGGAAGTAGGGCAAAGCTCAGGCACTGTAAAGCACACTCTACTGATGATTTAGTGCAGAAGACATAATGACTTATAAATAAACTTGGCTAATTTGTGTAGATGTGTGTAGGTTGTTATTCACAAACCGACATACAGAGTGAAGTGTGTTCTGTGTATAAGCCAAGGGTAAGGTGAAGCAGTGGGCCAGTGGAACCAAACAGACCATGAAATCACAAAATCAGAGTCTTTAAGTGGAGCTAACTCCCCTGCATTTCACACTGCATATCATCCAGCACCTCAGTGTCATACTTCTGTGGATTTTATTCATTTTTTGAACAATAGGTCCATATATTTGTAGTGTTATGTTAAAGGTCTGTTGTTATTATGTTGAGTTTTTATTTTGTATTTTGTTCTTTTTTTTAAAAAAGCATTATACATTCTTAAGGTTCTTTGAAGTGAGGCCATTGAATCACTTGGGAACCTTGGTATGAATTTGATAGAACATTTTAATAAAAAAATTTTAATGTGAGGGAGCTCTACTGAAGACAAAAAAATCTCCCAGTTTGTAATAAGTACTAAGGAGTAAGGAGTAAAAAGTATGTTTTTGTCTGTGAAGTATAACTGTGTAAAAGTACCACTATTCAGTTTCAATACTTGCATAAAGAACAGATCTTCCAAAATAATACTTGAGCATAGTAAGGAAGTACAACCACACAAATATTTTCCACTCCTGGAAATGGGCAAAAAGATGATAAAATCAGTCAAGTCACAGCAGTCATCCGTTTTTCATTTGTTGTTGAAGTTGGCTTTGTCTTGTTATGTCTCTCCAAAAGCAACACTCCTACCAGAGACCAGGATATGGGCTGGAACAGAACCCAGTGGAGCAGTAAAACCACAATCTGACCTTTGGACTTGTCTGTGGAACATCTCATCCCTTTGGTGTTTCCATCCCAAAATTCATACTGCTTTTCTGTCATACACTTTACTCTTAATGGCAGCTAAAGCAGATAGTTCTGATTAGCACGTCACTTATTTGGCTGCGTAGCATTTGCCCATTGTTTGTAAAGTCTTTATTGGTTGCTGTACATGCCACCCGGTTGTGTATGTAGAAGCGGGTGATGACCCATATCTGACCTTGTGTAGCGTGTGAGCATGGCTGAGAGGCTGACAGAAGAACAACACAGTGCTGTTGTTTTTCTCATCTAGAACTCACCCTGCTCTGCCTGCTCTTTGCACACGCACACACCGTGTTTCTGTTAGCCCAACAACTGGAGTCGTTATATCCAAATTAATGTCAGGGCCTCTCTATTTTCCATAAATAACACCCAGCAGGTCGCTGCTGTTGTTAAACATGCTCTAATTTGTTTCCCATTATGAAAAACATCAGTGTCGATTAACTCATGTTTCAAGCCCGACAGCCGCTATGCTTTTTCCAAGGTGACAGTGAGAACAGGGCTGTTGATCAACAACATTATTTTCTTGTTTTTTTTTTTTTTGTTTTTTTTTTAAACACATCCCTCTTTTGTTTTTCACGCTTTTATAGAATCCATTCAGTAATGCTTTAAAGTGCAGTACTTAATTTGCTTGTATACTTCACAGAATAGGAAATTAGCTGGCTGCTTTATTGGTATTTACTGAAAGCGAAAGCATTTAGATTTTTCTGTTATTTTTTTATTTTTATTTTTTTTTATTTTGGTGGTCTGTTTCCTGGCATGGCAGTTCATTGTACAGATGCACAGTGCTCCTTCCATTACTCCTAATAAGGTGTCATATAATTTAATTCCATGCTTCACTTGTCAGAGAGGAGCTCTTATCCGCCTCCAATTTTGAGTTTTAATGGATATTACTCTTTAGCACTCGCCTCACAATTAGGGCTCCTAGTTTGCCTTTTAATGAAAATCAGATTAAAACTTAATCTAATTAAAGTTCATTTTAATCCACGCTATCGTGCAAACTGTCTGTCGCCTGGAATCTTGGTGCCTCACTGTCAGACTCATTTAGCTTGCATGGAAGTGTAAGGTCAGACTATCAATCAAGGGTTTTTAGTGTGTGTATGTGTGTGTGGGAACAACTTGCTCCACTTATGGAGTGTGCTGTCGCATGCATAAAAAAACCCTCCTGTTTTTCATTAAAATAAAAGGCATGTGACTGTATATATTTGAACTAGTGGATCCTTTTCACAGCAGAGCCTACTTGAACCTACCACACATCGTGACTCAGAACAAACCTGTCATATATGAACTCTAGGAAACTTCTTTTGAAGTGGGAAAGAGCAAAACTTATGAAATGTGCACAAATGTTGCTTATAATCGATGGCAGTTGTCAGGTGTCATTTCCAGAGATGCCCTCTGCTGGCTTTACGGAGAGAGAGAGAGAATATAATTGAGTAATGGTTCTGTGTTTGAGACGTGTTGGCCTGTCAGCTCTTTTCTGGGCCATGACAGCGTAATATGTTTTACAAGCGGCATGGCCAGGGGTTATTTCACCATCTTAGGGAGCAGAGCAAGCAGCCAGCGTGTGTCTGCTGCACGGGGCAAAGCCATGCAGTGCTGCAGCTGGAACACACTGCAGACCCCACTGCCAGAAGAGCTGAACATAGCGGGCAGACCACTGACTAGCACAGGACATCTAATGATCAAATGATGCATAACCATTTTATCTGTATTATGTACTGCAGTATAAAACCCAATAATATTCATAACATTTTAATCATTTTAAGTTCTTAAAATAAAACATCAATAATTACTTTATTAAAAGAGCATTTCTTACATTAAAATGTAGCTCAGTGCATCACAATATGTTTAAATAAAAGAGTAAAACAGTGTAAATAAAATCATGTGTGACAAAAAAAAACAATAAAAGAGTGTTTGTTTAGTAAGAGTTTAAAAAAAAAAAAGTATAGCCATGTCATGCTGTGATTTTTCTTTTCTAAAGCTATGGTTGAAGTATGTAGCCTACTGCTAAAGTCTTCCTGCAAAGAGATCACAGGACAGCACTTATTTACAGAGTTAAAATAATATGAATAGTAAACAGTGGGCTCACTAGTAGTGCTGGTCATAATTCATGTTTATTTCATATTTGTTTATTCATAATTAGTTTTATTTTCTTTTTATTTGAAAGAAGTACAAGAGCTTTAATAAAAGGTCTATCAGTGTAAAGCATGCGATTTAATGATTTCAGTCTATTTTTGTAACATTTTTGTCACTGATATCATGGTAGAAAATGTTCATTCCTAATGACAACGAAACCAGCTTAGACGTAAACCACTGACCTTTATTGTGTCGACTGTAATTTAAGTTGATATGTTTATGCTGAATCACTTAGGCTCGCTAAATCTGGATTTAATTAGCAAACCAAGCCAACATAGGCAAGAACAAGCACCATGAGATTATTGTGTTAAAAAGCCTGAGTCTGTCTTTTCTGGGTCAGCTGTCGTGGAGGAGCTGGCATCCAGTGTAACTGTAAGTCAAGAGTTTAGTTCTCGTACGTTTACATTCTGGGTGAAATAAACACCTTTCTCCATTCTAAATGACCTTTTCTTAAACTTAATTATTAATGTCAGGCTTTCAGTTGTTGGCCAAGCTGAAGCTTTGGCTCGGCATGTCTATTTTCAGCGGCTCATACCTCTAAATCTGATGCCCACTCTGCCTCTTAAACTGCTGATGCCAGCTTTAGAGAAACTTTAAACACACTTTGTGTAATCAAAGGGACAATGCAAAACGGCAGGTCAGCAAAAAACAGCCCAAACAATACCCCAAGTTCCCCCTAAATATAACCTTTTTTTTGGTACTTTTTTATTATTAATTTTTTTTTCTTTTTGGGTGTAGCAAAACTTTTAATGTTCTCTCCCTCATCCCCACGTAATTAGTTCAGTAATTTTAGTAAAGTGTTTCAACCTTTTGGGTTTGAATGACCCATTTAGACTTGTGATTTTGGAAATGAATTTCTACTCGTATCTCTACTTATGGGCCGTATTTATCTCTGGAGTGATAGGGGGCTGCAGGATGATGAGGCCAATGCCTATCTGACACTGCGTGATGGTGGAGAATTCTTATCTTTGCTGCTTTGAAGTGTGTCGTGTCTTTGGTTGTGCAAAAGAAGTTTGTCTACACCATACAGTCCAGCTGCCTCTGTTTCCTTTATTGCAAAAGCTTGTCGAGAAACTGTATTCTTTGAACACTTTTAACTCTCTTGTATATTATTGTCATTACATCTCATACCTTTTCTCATAGTGGTAGTTCCTCCTGAAAGTGCCCATGGTACCATTTCTAACTTTATCTGTGCTTGGGCTCGCGAGGGCTTCTGCTACATTAATTCAATCATTTTCATCACTGGAGAGGGAGTTGATTAGGCAGCTGAAAGAGAAGCCCATGGCTGTGTGTGATGGAGCAGAGCTGGGACTGAATTGGAGATATGGCTTTTAGTCCTTCTCCCCCTCTCTTTTCCACCACTCCATTCAGTCCCAAATAGAGAGAGAGAGCATCGATAATGTGAGAGAGCATTGATCGCAGAGTTATCTGAACAAGAAGACTAATCGCAATCATGTCATTTCCCTTCCCCTCTCTCTCTCTCTCTCTCTCTCTCTCTCTCTCTCTCTCTCTCTCTCTCTCTCTCTCTCGCTCTCTCTCTCTCTCTCTCTGCAGGTTTTGAGACGGCACGCTCCTTCGCTCTTCATGGTGCCCATGTGATCATAGCCTGCCGGAACAAAACTCGCAGCAGTAAAGCAGTTAGTCTGATTCTAGAGGAGTGGGTAAGTGTGTACACACAGAATATGTTTTGCAGACTTATGTTAGTTGAAACGCTTTGAAACTCAGCAGAGTTTTCTAAAATCATTTACAGAAAATGACTGTCTCGTCTCAAGTTGAATGGTCCAAGACAGTAATTCTCTATCAGCAGTAAACTCAGCTGACACTGAAAAAAATGACTTGATGTTTTAACCTAAAGCAACTAACCTGGTTGCTTTCAACTTTTAAGTTAACTGAATTTCTAATAGTAAGTCAATGTGCTTCATATTATGTTCATGTAAATGTAGAGTGCTCAACGCTGCACTTGTCATAGTCCCTCAGCTGATTGTACTACTAGTATAATTTGAAAGTAATTATGTATTATTGTAAGTGGAGGAAGTGATATTTTTGATTTGCATTTGAAAAGTTATTTTTGTGCACAGTCTTGTTTTGCGGAAAGAAAAAAAAATTATTACATTTTTGCCATTTTGTCATGAAACAAATGGGGGAAAAAACATTGCAAGTACGGATTCAAACCTGTCAGTACAGAACGTAAATTGAATAAAATGTAATTCATTATGTGACTATGTGACTAAGAAGTAAGTATTGATGGAATAATGTAATTCAATTTAAATAGAATAGTATACGGGTTAAACACATTTCATGATAACTGATTACAGAGCCATTGATTCCCCAGTAAGAAATTCCCAAGATCGTTAAATTCCTTCAAAACATTTCTACTGTGATGCTTTTGGGAAGTTCACCCTCGATCATAAAGTAAAACAGTTTTACACCAATTCATGACACCACTTTGTTTGCAAATACATAGTAATCAGTAATTAGGTGGAATCGTATGATCTAGCCTGGCAGGTGGCTGTCTCTAGCACTCTTGAAAATCCTCTCAGCAAATATGCAGTTGCACACTTATGCTGAACCACACAGGTTTTAACATTAGCCAGTAAAGTTTGCAAGCCACTGCAGGAAAACTTACTTACTTTGTTATTTTTGGCTTCTCAACAAATTGTAAATCTGTTTGTAAATATGTGCTTTTTAGGAATAAGTGATTAATAATAGGCGTGCTAAAGCTGCATCGCTGAAGCGGTGTTTGAGCCTCTCCAGTCTGCGCTGAGGCAGATCTCTCTGATAGCCTGTGTTATTAGTGGGAGGAGAGTGCGAGGGCCGTCTGATAATTAACTCTGATTATTGCACTAATATTGTGGCACTCCTGACGCTCCCCTAGATTTATGACTGTGGGAAAATAAACAAATGAAATGTAGGTGCTGGAGCAGAAAGAATAAGCTATTACCAGCGCTGTAATTACAGCCGTCCCGAGACTGCGAATTAGTTGATTAATTACAGGATGCCGATAGATTACAGGGGAATCTAAAGCGCTTTAAAGCGGCTGAAATATCTAATTGAACAAAGGCCCTTCTCGGCACTGGATAATTCGTCAGCTCCGACAGCTTCAAATCAAGGCATGTTTTAATAAATGTAGCTGAACTGCTCCGAGGCATTTTACGCTCTTACACACACATACACACACACTCACACACACACTTTCGCTTGCACATCCCACCATAGTGCACTGTAGTAGAGCAAAAAAGTCCTCCACTGTTATTGTATCTGTTGGAAAAGCTTGTGAAAAATGTTTTTAGACCAAACCAAACATTTCAAACAGATTTTTCTTTCATCTGTTTATTTTATGCTTATTCTGAAAATGAGTCACACAGGCTCTCATCTTGAAGAAAGAGTGGATAAATAGTGTCAAAAGAAGAGTTGATCACGTTAAGATTCTCATTTTCTGATTAAGAAATGTGGGATTTGATTTGACTCCTATATCACAGGCACCCCAGGATGAGTAATGAGTGCAGTAATATCGGAGTGAATCTCCTCGGCTGGAGACGTACTCGTACACTTCAGCAACGATATTAATAGAGTCAGGAAAGGACAGCATGAAGGAAATTAATCGTTAAAATGATGGATGAACTCCCTGAGTCTTCCCACGCTTGTGTTAAGGTTATTTTGATAAAGATGTATATTTTGAAATCTTCTGGACAGAAGGTCAGCGCATGTGCTTCCTGGGTCAACTGGAATTCCGTGTGGGCTGGTTTTAGTGTTAAAAGTGCGTTAGCCTTGATAACCTTCAACCTCTAGTCAAGCGATCTGGCAACTTAACAGCACGATTAAACTCAGGCATATGGCGTGTGCTTGGTTACTTATTTCTGCAAATTCTTTTTATATTATATATAAAAAGATGATATTACTTGCTAAATTGTATTTGTGTGAAAGCACACACTGAATCCAGAGGTTAAAAAAAAGTTATTGGCTCTGCATTTTTTGTTTTAATGTCACAATTCAGTTTGATTTTTTAAAAAACCCTCATTATTATCGATGTTGCTGTTATCGTTTTTATTCAATAAAGAATAGTCTTTATTAAAAAAAATGGTAAAACAAAGTGTTGAACTGTGACTTATGCTGGTCATGTCTGTGGAATCCGGTTAAAAATGTATTTAATTAATTTATTAATTTTTTGTTGCATTTTTATATAAAATTAACGTGAGGTAATAAAGAATATTGCACATGCACACAGACAAAGTGTGAGATGAGGTCTGGATGTGTTCAAAGCAGCAGCCTGATGTTTGGTGAAGGGGAAAAATGAAAATGTAAATCGTTGCATTCCTTCTTTTGAAGATCAAAATTGAACACTCGTTTCAGTCAATTTTGAATTAAAGATTTTTTCACCCCTACCTGAAACACAAGCAAAGCTGCTTCCATTCAAGTAATGTGGAGAGACAACAAGCCTCATCCTCTAATACTGCGTTTGAGCTAATGACTTTGTCCTTGCAGCAGATATTTTGCAGATTTGAGATGTTTTGGGCTTGCTGAGTGGTGTAATAGTGCTGGTGTGGACAGTGCTCATGTGTAGACTATTCATTGTGACACTCTGAAATGAAACGCCGCTGATTGCCAGAGAGAAACAATAACTTATTTTTAGAGTGCAGCTAAGTTGCTTGATCTTTATGGTGCTCTGCAAATCCTTTCCTTCGTGCGAAAGTGCTTACTAATCACACTAATAACCCCACTCCCTGTACACATGCTTACTAATCACAGCATAGCACAGCATTTACATCTGTGAAAGTGCAGTGTCACGCTGATTCAGCCTGTTCGGACACCCAAGCTGACACGCACACAGTCGAGGTGTGTCCAGATTTGTTCCGGAACGGTCTCTCTCACTTTAACCTCATGTGTAATGGCCCATCCATCTCTGCATACCAGATGCTGTAGTAAGAGGAGTTGCCAGATCCTCTGGGTTATCTGTGGTAGGAAGGGGTTGAAGTTTATCGAGGGGTTTGTTGTGAGGTCATTGTGGAATGAATGGTGAGCTGGAAGTCAGGAGGAAGAGCTCAGTCACAGTTACGGTATCTCATCAGTCAACATGCATGTGATCACAATATGCTGTGATTATCTGCTTTTGAGGCCTTCATGAATGGATGCCATGTATGATACCACAAAAGAGCCACCTTTGGTTCTCTAAAGAAGCTTTCAGTGAGTGGCTCTTTAACACCTCAAATTCCTAGTCTTATTACGTCCTTAGGCTTAGTATTTAGTAATTGCATAGAAAGTGCTAAATTTATTCACATGGCAATTTTTTTTTTCAGATATACAAATAATGATGCCTGGTTGAATAATTAAAAATAAACCTAAAATTTACTTATTTATTTATTTATTTATTTATTTATTTGTCTATCTAACATTTTTGGTGACCAACTTCTTTTTCCTTTTTTATTTTATAATCTGCCTACCGTTGTCAGACTAAATATTTTAAAGCTAATTATAGAAATACATATATTTTACAAAATGTTTTTTTTGCATTTTTTCCTCATTATCGCAATATAGTTGGTGACTACTGATTACTTTTTATTTTATTTTTTATTTTATTATTTATTTTGCTTGCGCCACATAATATTTTGTTATTTTGTTCACTTCTTCAGAATTTACTAGCAAGACGTTAAAGTAAAGAGATGAAACACTTAAAAGTAATCCAAACTTTTTTCTCACAAAAAAAGGAAAAAAGGAACATATCTGTAAATAGGAACTGACATAGCAGTAATGAGAATTAGAATTTAAAAAAAAATTAAATGAGAAATAGAAAAATGAATACATTTTTGCTGTACCATATAGAGCTCCTGTAGATCTACTAAACTGAATATGAATATTGCTATCTGCATGATGATCATGACTCAGAGGTTTATTTTGTTTGTGGAGTGAAGAATGGAAGTCTGGACTGGCCCACAAGTCCTGGACATTCAAGCAGTTAAAGAAATACTCCTACTTAATCTCCAATCGTGGACAGGAATTCACTGAAAGTTTCTTTAGGGGATTCTAATGTAGTTCTTCAATAGCATATTGTGCCAAAGAACAGGACATAAAGGATGGGTTTACTGGCCATGATCCTGTACTTATGTGTGTCATATTCAGGTGAATTCAGGTAAACAGTTGTTAAAATTTGGAACTGAATAGTGAAGAAACTCTTTGAAAAAGAAAGGTTTCTTCTAAGCTTTTAGAAGGAAGGAAAGAAATTATGGCATATGCAGTAGGGATAAAATCAGGGCTACTCATATTTAGTCAGTGATGACATTAAGTTAGTTCAGTACTTGGCAAATCTGCATAGACACGTGTGAATAAATGTTACATATGGACACAACCTTAAAAGTTTGGGTGGAGCTGATTCCAGCTAACAGTATCAAGAGTTAATGTGGCAGGTGGCACTAATTCGAATTGAGCTCATTCCAGCTAACAGCATGAAGGTTTTATATAGCAGACCCAATGCTTTTGGTTGTCCCTGTGAAACCCTTAGAAAATCAGTCCCTACCCTGCTAATTACAGTTGTAGCGGCTAGAGGAAGGCTGCAAGTTTACGTTCTGAGTGTGTTTTACAATTAGAGTACTGTTAGTGGCGTTTATGGGGTTCAGCAGGTTGGGCTTTTATAGTGTGCGATGAGGCTGCTATAAAAGTGGGTAAAGAG